TTGATCATGTTTAGGGAGAGGTTGTTATCCTGGCACCACACGGCCAGGTCTCTGACCTTCTCCCTATAGGCTGTCTCATCGTTGTCGGAAAACTGAATGATGGTGTTGGAGTTGTGCCTGGCCATGCAGTCATGGGTGAACAGGGAGTACAGGAGGGGACTGAGCATGCACCCCTGAGGGGCCCCCGTGTTGAGGATCAGCGTGGCAGATGTGTTGCTACCTACCCTTACCACCTGGGGGTGGCCCGTCGGGAAGTCCAGGATCCAGTTGCAGAGGAAGGTGTTTAGTCTCAGGGTCCTTAGCTTAGTGATGAGCTTTGAGGGCACTATGGTGTTGAATGCTGAGAGGTAGTCAATGAATAGCATTCTCACGTAGGTGTTCCTTTTGTCCAGATGCTCTCGATGGTGCAGCTTTAGAGCTTTTTGACTCTGCAGGTGTATGTGGACCATGTTAAGTCCTTAGCAATGTGGACGCCAAGAAACTTGAAGCTCTCAACCCGCTCCACTACAGCCCTGTCGATGTGGATGGGGGCGTGCTCGCCCCTCTTTCTCCTGTAGTCCACGATCAGCTCCTTGGTCTCACTGACGTTGAGGGAGAGGTTGTTGTCGTGGCACCATCAGGCCTACCACCATTGTGTCGTCAGCAAACTTGATGATGGTGTTGGAGTCGTGGGTGAACAGGGAGTACAGGTGGGGACTAAGCACACACCGCCGAGGGGCCCCCGTGTTGAGGGTCAGCATTGCAGAGGTGTTGTTGCCTACCCTCACCACCTGGGGCCGGCCTATCAGGAAGTCCAGGGTCTAGTTGCAGAGGGAGGTGTTCAGTCCCGAGGTCCCCAGCTTGATGAGCTTCGGGGGTACTATGGTGTTGAACACTGAGTTGTAGTCTATGAACAGCATTCTTACATACACACACACACACACACACACCTTGTTGTACCTATTTCATGCTTTCTTGGGCCCATCTGGATGATCAACACCACACTGATTTAGTGGCAGCCCCTCTCTCCCCACTCCAGGAGCCCCATTCATTACAAAAGCCAATGCATTAATCCTCACGCTTTCCTTCACGGACAGGGCTGTCGGCTGATCGATACAGCCGGAATAAATCAATTGATGCCACTGCCACACAAACTGACTCTCCCCCTGTCCCTACCCACAACCTTCCCTGTTGTTGTTTCTCTCCCCACCTCCTCAGCTCTCAGGCTGACCTCTCGTCTGCCTCTTTGTCTTCATAGTTGCCCCTTCTGCTCTGACAGCGCCATTGCTTTCAAGATCCTGTACTCACTATTCTCTCCGTGATTCATGTGTTTGCTCTGATTCATGTGATTCATGTCATTACAGAGCATCACATCACATCAAATCCCATGTCATTTCACCATTGCTGTTGTGTTTTTTAAACACTCACTGTGTCTCTGTCTGAGACGAGGTACACATATCACATTCTCTCCACCCATCCTTACCACTTCTTCGGGTGTTGTTGCTCTCTTCTCTTTTGACACTGCCGCTCTCATTTTTCTCTTATTGCTGTCACCTCTTCTGCAGACAATCTAGCTGTGCAGTGAGCTGTGAAAGACTCTCGCTCCTTCACTCACAAACGCATGCACACAAATATACGCACACGCAAACACATACACTGATATGTATATACAGACACTCTTTCTTATGCTGACACTCTCACACACACGCACACACCTGCTCTCCAATTTCATTATATGTCACATAAAATAATGTTTTTCAGAGGTGACTGAAACAAGAGCAATTATGTAGGTTGATTCAGCAGCATTTGGGGCACCAGGTGATTTTTTAAATTTTTTCATTTTTATGAATAGTCTTGGACATCTATATATATTTTTTTACAATATTTGTCTCATGCAGAGCCAAACTGTCATTGCCATTTTCATTAATTTTTCTCTGCCAAGCTATTCAGTGTGTTTTCTAAAGGGCTTGGAAATGCCACAAAAACACATTTAGGATGGGAGCATTTAGACCAGGGTGTCAAACTCATTTAATTGAGGGCTGAGTGTCTGCTGGTTTTTGGTTTTTCCTTTCAATTTGTGTCCAATTAAGACCTACACAACCAGATGAGGGGAGTTCCTAACTAATCAATGACCTTAATTCATCAATCAAGGACAAGGGAGGAGCTAAAACACTAAGACATTCGAACCTCCGAATGAGTTTGACAAGTGATTTAGACTATTGACGTATAGCAACAGGAGACAACCTTGTTCATGGTTTCTGGTTTATGTCCCCCTTGCACCAGCTTCCCACCCACACACACACACATACAGTATATCTTACTATGGTCATCATAAATGAATTCCATTTAAAAAAAGAAGAATCCAAGGGTTGTGTCGCAACACCCAGAAGTGTATGCTGAGCGATGCTGAGCTCATGCTGCCATCAGCCGACATACAGGGGTAACTGCAACTCAGCATGGCACTGCAAAGGATTAATGACAACATAACAAAAGGATCCTACATCACGACATGTGCTTTATAAAAATCCACACTGTTGCTCCATTGAACTGTGATGGCAAGCAGATAGATTAATTAAGTCATGATGATATGATCAGATACTGAATCATAAACTTCCCAAAACATGCACACATAGCCTACAAAACATCCAGTGAAATCAGAAATGTCAGCATTACTTTAATCAAATCAAATTTTTGTTGTCACATGCACCAAATACAACAGGTGGAGACCTTACAGTGAAACGCTTACTTACAAGCACTTAACCAACAATGCAGTTTTTAGAAAAAATAAGTGTTAAGAAAGTATTTACTAAATAAACTTAAGTGAACAATAAATAAATAAAAATAAATAGATATGTTCATCAACATGTTGTCCTGAATCTCAATGCTTTGTTGGGAGTTAGGACTGATCATCATGGCGTGAGTATGGAAAGGGAATGAGATCACCTCAACCCTTACATTAATCATAGGTGTAGGCTACTTGTTTGCCTATTATTGTTAAATCCTTACCATTTGGGGTTCAAGCTCAATATACCGTGTGTAATTATGGATTCGATGTCTACTGTAAAGATTATATATCCCCCGTGAGAAATATTGAATACCTTTTTAATACCCTAACATCCCATGTGAAAAAATATAGAAGTATGATAATATTAGTCGATATGTTATCGTGTAAGTTTACATTCAGATGAATTAATGAAAGAAAATAAATGTTATATTTTATAACACGAATCTAAGATAGTTTATAGGCTACCACTAATGTGTTCATTGCTATTCATTAATGTATTTAACGTTACATCAATAGGAAAGGAATAACATCACATATATGTAGCTTCCATTCTTTATTATAACCCAGGGCTTTCTAGGGGGAGATTTCTCTCTTAACTCATTTTGTCATTTCGTTCCTTTTGTCATACCAGGTCCACTGACAGCATATCACACCCAACTGATTATTGATATAAACAACAGCAAGTGTTTCCCAATATGTACAGAATGTTCTAGAAAGGAGATGAACCAAATCGATCCTTCTAGAACGATAATGAATACGGTAACGTTCGTTGATTCGACGTTTGTTGTTGTTTTACTCATCGTACTCAACGCGATCTAGCCTTTGATTTGCTGAACTTTCCTTGATTAACTAAGTTGAACCAATCATACACCAGTGCGCATAAAGTCAGAAATAAATGGGTAAGCACTGGGGTTGCCATGCATGCCAGAAAGCTTAGCGTTTTACAACACAGTTTGGTTATCAATCATCTTTATAAACAATTTTTATATTGATTAATTTTCTAATACACATAGCTATATTTAACAAACCGTACAAACAATACAAAATGTCCTAAAGGAAACTGCCATAAAACATTTTTGTAACCTGCTTGATCTCAGATCTTAGAAATGTGTTATCTTTTCTTGAATAGAATCTGGCAACCTAGCTCCATATTGTGCAGGGGCGGTGCTCTCGTCTCACAGTAGTTTCTGGAACCTCATGGTTATACCATGGAGAAGGTGAGTGGTAACTGTCATCAATATTCTGGTCAATAACTATTTGTTCTGCAATATTTACAGTATTGTCGAACCGTTTGTCTATGGTGGTAAACGGGAACGCGTTTGGCCTATTTGAAGATTGACAGAAAGATGTAACTAGTTAGCTATCTCGTTTTACTCAATGCGGACTTCATTGTTACTAGCTCGCCAAGTAACGCTAGCAGTTGGCTAGCTAGCTAACCGGTAATGTTAGCATATTAGCTAGCTAGCTAACAAAATAGCTTTCAATTGTAACGTTGGTTGGCTAATTTAGCCGGCAAATATTTTTGGTCCAGAACAATGTATTGGTACTCTAGCCAGCCGATTAGTTAACTACCGGTAGTTAGCTAGCTAATCAGCTAATTACCTAGCTAATATTACATACGCCTGTTCTGTCGATCATCAGAAAAAAGCAAAGTGCAGGCACGAATGACTTCATGCTGTGAAATGGCTAACATTGCTGCAAGCTAACTTATTCACGTTTACTAGCATAGCTATATAGCTAGCTAGCGTACTGCCTGGTTAACTAAGTAACTAGAGGACATGACTGGCAAGTTAACCAGCTAGTTATTTAACAGTTAACGTTGCAGGACTACAAGTCAGTCAGCAATCAAACTTGCTAACGATAATATAGCAGTAGCTAGTTCAACTCAGTTAACCACCTTTAAAATCTGAGTGGTTAATTTAGCAGCTAGCAGCCTATATGCGTTTAGCTGAAACATGGCTAATGTGCATCATGGTAGAGGATAGGTTCTGCGATATGTAATGTCCTCATGGCATATAGGTTGGGTGATTGGCTTGGGTTTTGTTTAACCTGACAGCTGGCTTCTAACGTTACAAACCTTGGCTGCTTTAGGAATCAGATTGTTGTTTATAGATTAACGATGTTCTATTAAATTGACAAGTAAAGAAAAACGATGTCATGAAAAATAAATATATTTAAACAGATTTGGTTACAGTGAATTTATTCAGGTCTTACTCTCCCCTCACAGGTGTCACAGTTGAAAGATCAGGGCAACAAGGCACTGAGTGCAGGGAAGATCGACGAGGCCATACGCTGCTACACTGAAGCGTTGGCCCTCGATCCCTCAAACCATGTCCTCTTCAGCAACCGCTCGGCTGCCCATGCCAAGAAGGGCAACTACGAGAGCGCTCTGGAGGACGCCTGTCAGACCATCAAGATTAAACCTGACTGGGGAAAGGTGAGACGACAGCACATAGAGGGTGGCTTATATTTGCACTAGCTATTGTCAAAAGTGACACGCCTCATCACCATGATTTGTGCTTGCACAGGGCTACTCAAGGAAAGCGGCAGCCCAGGAGTTCCTTGGACGGTTTGAGGATGCCAAATTGACGTACCAAGAGGGATTCAGACAAGAGCCCACTAATCAGCAGCTCAAGGAGGGGCTGCAGAACATAGAAGCCCGGCTGGCAGGTAGAAACATTTGAACCTGTCACACATGATTATAAACAAAACACAATGGGATTTTGTTTGCTCATCATGCTTTGTTTTGCCTGTGTTGTGAATGTCACCTCCTCTTGCCTCACCAGAAAAAAAGATGATGAACCCATTTTCCATGCCCAACATGTTTGAGAAGCTGGAGAGTGACTCTCGAACCCATGCCCTGATGAAAGATCCAGAGTACAGAGCGCTTCTGGAGCAGCTCCGGGACAAACCGTCTATGCTTGGCTCGTGAGTATGTTTCTGTGGATGCCACTTGTCTTGTTGCACAGCACCTGTACATTTAGAAATATACTGTATTTTTTCATGCTTTCAGTTTTCAGGCCCCTTCCAAATGCAAAATAAATTAAACACCAAGATCATCTTGTCTGACTGTAGAAATAAGTACCAGAACACAAAATTCCTTTGTAGCTCCTGTAGATTTCCTGTGATCTAATTCAAGTACACTCTTTATCTCGGTCCCTCTACCTGTATCCATCTACCTGTAGGAAGCTCCAGGATCCTAGAGTAATGACTACCCTGTCGGTCCTGCTGGGGTTAGACTTGGCTGGCATGGATGATGAGGAAGAGCCCACTCCACCCCCACCTCCCAAACCCAAAGAGACTCAGCCACCCCCTCCCAAGGAGGAAGACTTACCTGAGAACAAGAGACAGGTAAATAGATTGCATTATAAGTAATTATATAGTCCTTCACAGTCTTGGACAATGGTAATTTGTGCATGCGTCTCCTCTCAGCACCCAGACCGATTTGCTGGATTTATTGCCCTCTCAGCATGGTCTTTTAACAGCTTAAATGTCACTTGTGCTTCCATAGGCTCTGAAGGAGAAGGAACTGGGCAACGAGGCATACAAGAAGAAAGACTTTGCCACTGCACTGAAACATTATGAAGAAGCCCTCAAGCACGACCCAACCAACATGACATATCTTTCTAACCAAGCAGGTATAGAATCATCACTGTGTACAGACACACACACACATAGACAAATAATATTGTGTAGAACAGAGTCTGGTGCACTCTGTGTGGATAGGCCACTGGGAGAAAACGGATACCGGACTGCGCTCTGGTCAAAGAGTGATGAGACACAGAAGCCCAGTCTAGGAGTTTAATGATGAAACATGTGGTCTGTGTACAGAGGGAAAGAGGATAAAAGAAATAGAAAATTACTACAATGTAAATCCAATAAACAATATTACATTAAACAGTAATGTCAGCAATCTCTATACACAATTTACAATAAGAGAATTAACACAACATAATTACTCAAGAGAATTAACATTAGTTACACCAACTGGTAGGCTAATTACATAATTGTACAAAATGGTAAGAGAACTGGTGAAGAAAGTTACCCCTCTACATACACATTTCTTGTATTTACATATAACAATAGCAACAGGAATATTATAAAAGTGAAATAAGTGTTTGTTCTGACTTACATTTTAGTCAAAAACGAACAAATATCCCTGAAAATGAAAACGGTATGATCTCCATGAAAGCCAAAGGAACTGAGAAATAAGTTAGTTTTTTATACTAACAAGTGGTTGCCATGGTGAATAATCCAATCATAATTGGTAGGACACATGAAAGGAAACAGCAGTGTTTACTGGGATCTCTAAATGAAAATACTGGCAGATCAATAAAATGTCCTTGTAGATCAAATTAAATTTAGAGGATTCTAAATTAATATCTAAGGGGCTTTCTAGAATCTTCCGAACTCTCTCAAGGTGCCCTGTTGGACTCCCATTTACAGTTGTCTTAAATATGCTATTAGGAGAGGTGTTAATATTTGATGAGTTAAACTTGTAGTGTTCTGCCATTTAACGAACTGCCAACAGTTGTATTTATCTCTGTAGTCTGTATATGAAAAAATAATCATATAATGTTTTATCCATGATAGAACTAATTAGCTGTGGGATTAATTGGCTTGATCAGAATTGTATGCGATTAACTGAGTGAATATCTCTACCCCCTAATCCTGGGTACAATTTTCTATTTCCATACGATCAAGGGCAGATAAAACAGCATAACATTTGATCATTTTATGTGGGTCCTCGGCAAGTAATTTTACAGAATAGATTTGTCCTGCTTATAAGAATAATTATTGTCAAAAGGATCTAGAATCTACTCAATCCCTCTCCAAGTGATAAGACCTCCATGGTAGGAAAAGCATTATCTCCCCAGGAAGAGTAGATGCTGCTATAGCAGTAGCTTATTGGGATCCTAATAATAAAATACTATCTCAGCTTACCATCATGCAGACAATATAATATGATTTTTATATGCATGGTTTTTATGATCTGTAAAATCTGATTGATGGATAATGGGTGGTTTCTAAGGTGTCTGTCTTTTTCCGTGTTCCCATCCCAGCTGTGTTCTTTGAGAAGGCTGAGTATGAGACGTGCAGGGAGCTGTGTGACAAGGCCATCGAGGTAGGCAGAGAGAACCGGGAGGACTACAGACACATTGCCAAGTGAGTTCCTTGTCAAATCACTGAAAACAATTACACATGTGGGTATAAACTGCTGGGAGTCTGAAGGGGACAATTGCATACGGTGCGTCCATCAAGGGATGAGGAGAGATTAGGTCTCCTGAACAAGCAGCCAATTAAGTCTTTGTATTCACCATTGCCAGGTCACATTTGGGTAATGGTTGGCTCTGCTACAAACTGGGGAAATTGAATGTCAGAGCATGTCATTCAGGTTTCTAATTTTAAGTGCATTCTCTCTCTGTCTGTCTCTCTCTCAGGGCCTTGTCTAGGATTGGCAACTCGTACTTCAAGCAGGAGAAATACAAAGAAGCAGTCCAGTTTTACAACAAGAGTCTGACAGAGCATCGCACTCCTGATGTCCTTAAGAAGTGCCAGCAGGTACAGAGTGTTGACCCTATTGAATGAGGGCTGTCAGGGTAGATTATGCTGGGTTCGATAACGACTCTTTAACCAATCTGTTTAATCACTGTCCCTTCACTGTGTCTGCAGGCAGAGAAGGTACTGAAGGAGCAGGAGAAGCTGGCCTACATCAACCCAGAGCAGGCCTTGGAAGAGAAGAACAAGGGCAACGAGTCCTTCCAGAAAGGTGTGTGTCTGTAAAATGGAGGATCTACAATGGTTGAAAGTATTAATTGTTATGTGTCATGCCTATTTGTGCTCTTAGTGGTACGGTTTCTCTAGTTGTTTGCATACCGTTTTAGATTCTGCTAGTGTCAGGATATCTGACATGCTTGTGTTTATCCTCTCTGTTCTTCAGGAGACTATCCTTCAGCCATGAGACATTACTCTGAGGCCATCAAGAGGAACCCCAATGACGCCAAGCTCTTCAGCAACAGAGCTGCCTGCTACACGAAGCTACTGGAGTTCCAGCTTGCCCTAAAGGTACAACACACCTCACTACTGTGGTACCATGCATGTACATGAGCTTCATCCATATTACTAACTAATAAACACCAACGTGATGATATCCACTGTAGTACTTTATCAGTCAAAAAGGACTAGGATGTTTTCTGATTTTCTTTCTCTTTTAGGATTGCGAGGACTGTATCAAACTTGATCCTACCTTCAGTACGTATTGACCTTTAAATTTGTATTTTACTCAAGCTCTTGTTAGTCCACCATTTTTAATTAATTTAGCACATACAGGCCTCCTAGCTTTTCTAATAGCAGGCGTATTTACTTTTTGCTACTACTTGATTTCGGGCATCACAAGACTGATGATGGAATGCATCTTGAAAACGTTAACGCTGACATGTGCAATTGTTTGAACTGTATCAAACCTGGGCCCTTTAAAAGCATAGATCTCACCTCATTTAATTTCTCTCTCCACAGTAAAGGGATACACACGCAAGGCAGCCGCTTTGGAAGCCATGAAAGATTTCTCTAAAGCGATGGTCGTCTACGAGAAGGCTCTGGAGCTTGACTCTACTTCCAAGGTACAGTATGACAGATTTACATTGGAGCACTAGCAGGATCTCCTTTACCAACCCAACTCTAAAAGAAATTGAAAGATATGTTTATTTTGTATGCGGTTTCTATTAAATATTAAGCCATGGCTTATGGTTCTTCTACCTTGTTTTGTTGGTGTCATTGAGCGGACTGAGGCTAACAGTTTAAACCATCTGACTCTGTTCCGGGTGCAGGAGGCCACAGAGGGTATCCAGCGCTGCATGATGAGCCAGCATGTGAGGAACGACGACAGTCCAGAGGACGTGAAGAGGAGGGCCATGGCTGACCCGGAGGTGCAGCAGATCATGAGTGACCCAGCCATGCGCATGATCCTGGAGCAGATGCAGAAGGACCCACAGGCACTCAGCGAGTAAGCAGGCCAGATCTGTGCAGCTACACACATTTCACACACTCGCTATCTACATAGTATACAACACATGCAGCGTAATCACACTGTAATTGGCCAAATGAGCTTGAAATTGAGTTAATTGGTTCTCTCTTTCTCCCTGGACCCTCTCAGTCACCTTAAGAATCCAGGCATTGCTCAGAAGATCCAGAAACTGATAGATGTGGGACTGATAGCCATCCGATGATGAGTGTGGAGAGAACAGGGCCAGACCCCATGAAGAACTGCAAGACCACAGAGGATCAAGATGCCATTCCCTCCAGATATAACACTCGCACCCCCTCTCCCTTCCACCCTCAAAATTATACTGTATGCCATCTTGCCCAAACTTCAACCAACAAAGGGTTTCATTTTCACTTTGTCCAAATTTATGGCCTTAATTAAATTGTACTTCATATGAAACCACAGTCTCTTCCTCATCACAGAACTCTCTGAAACAAATAATTTGATTGGACAAACTTATCAAACACCTATTACAGGAGCAGCAGACCAGGCTAGAGCTTTGGTTGGCACAATGACACTGCATTCCTATCAGCGCTGCAGCTTATAACAAAACAAGTAAAGCTCTAATTTGTGCCTCTGTTGGTTGTTGAACCATGATGTCAAGGTGCAATATGACTGCTTAATTTTTCACTTCCTTTGCGTATTTTAAAACTGAGATCAGATGGCCAGTCAATATCTGTGTAGGGTGCCTGACTAAGATAATTTATCCCCTTCTGGACAGGATATCTTTCATAAATTCAGGTCAATGTAGTTGTGCTACTGGTGTACAGGCTTACGAGCTCACATTACTGTGCTTTCCAGATCTTTTGAAATAAATGTTTTGTGGTCATGGAAGTACTGATCTTGGGATCAGCTTTGGATTGAAGCTGTGGAAGTTGAATACTGATTTAACTTTGTAATATCTTCTCTCGTCATTAAACACCTTTGACTGGCAATACAGAGCAGGGAAAAGTATAATCTCTAGTTGGCGCTTGTATTAAAGCTCTTCTGCTTCACATGGCGCACAAAATGGCTGCTAGCCAACAACTGTTTTCTTACGGCCTGCAATGTCGTACCCAAGGATGTTTTGTTTGTCGGGTTCTTACAGTAATGTGGGAGGGTTGTGTTAAGATGTACTGTTCCCTTCAAATTTCAGCATTTCACTGAGTTCTTCAAGACTCTGGGAGCTAGTAGAATAGACTTGGCAGATTTGAGTCCTGAGATTACACAACCAGCCCATTATCAGAAGTGACACCCACACATATGATGTATATCAAAGAGAAATCCCCAGAAGTGTAATGTACAAGTGAAATTAATCCTGTTCTGCAAAATATATCTGAATGTATTTCTAAGTTCATCCGTGTCTGCTTTTTATTTTCCAACTGGGAAAACCCTTCAAGCATATTCAATTTGTGCTAATCTGCATGGATTTGCGGACTGCTTAATGAAAATACTTCACACTTTCTGAACTGAACAAAAATATGAACGTAACATGCAACAATTTCAGTGATTTTACTGAGTTACAGTTCATATAAGGAAATCAATCAATTTAAGTAAATTCATTAGGCCCTAATCTATGGATTTCACATGACTGGGCAGCCAATCAGAATGAGTTTTTCCCCACAAAAGGGCTTTATTACAGACAGAATTACTCCTCAGTTTCATCGGCTGTCTCAGACGATCCCGCAGGTGAAGAGGCTGGATGTGGAGGTCCTGGGCTGGCGTGGTTACACGTGGTCTGCGGTTGTGAGACCGGTTGGATGTACTGCCAAATTCTCTAAAACGACATTGGAGGCTGCTTATGATAGAGAAATGTACATTCAGTTCTCTGACAACAGCTCTAGTGGACATTCCTGCAGTCAGCATGCCAATTGCATGCTCCCTCAAAATTGAGACATCTGTGACAAAACTTCACATTTTAGAGTGGCCTTTTATTTTACCCAGCACAAGGTGCACCTATGTAATTATCATGCTGTTTAATCAGCTTCTTGAGATATGCCACACCTGTCAGGTGGATGCATTATCTTGGCAAAGGAGAAATGCATGCTCCCTCAATATTGAGACATCTGTGACAAAACTTCACATTTTAGAGTGGCCTTTTATTTTCCCCAGCACAAGGTGCACCTATGTAATTATCATGCTGTTTAATCAGCTTCTTGATATGCCACACCTGTCAGGTGGATGCATTATCTTGGCAAAGGAGAAATGTTCACTAACAGGGATGTAAACAAATTTGTGCGCAAAATCTGAGATAAATAAGCTTTTTGTGTGTATGGAAAATGTCTGGGATCTTTTATTTCAGCTCATGAAACATGGGACCAACACTTTACATGTTGTGTTTATATTTTTGTTTAGTATAAATGTATGAAAAGTATTTATCCAATGCCCTGAAAACAAACCTTGAATTTATGACAAGACTTGCTATTTTTATGCATCTTAATCTTGATATATTTTCATCTTAATCTCATGATTTGCCTCAAATTAACCACTAGAGGGCATTACTCACCAAGACCTCAGGAGTGTCTCAAACTCACCCTACCTACCCGTTCACAAACTAGCCAAGTTAACTATCTAATAATGATTTTAAAAAATGTGTAGCATACATATTTTAGATGGCAACTAATCAAGTTGTTATAACTATCCCAATACCAATATGTGTTTACAGGTTGATCTTAGTATTTGTATAGCCTATGGAAAACGATTGTCTCACATGTTTGTCAAAACAATAGTTTCTCAGCAACAATATCTGATGGTAGCTCCCCCTTAAAAAAACACATACAGCCCTGATGGCATGTGAAAGCGGAACAGTTATCTCTCTCTTGACATTTGCTCACACACAGGATGAGACCACAGCCACTAAGACATTGTGAGAGAGACAGGAGGAAGTGACAGGCAGATTTCACAAGCTGCAAAGACAGGCAGAGGCGGAGGGCACCTGGTGTTTGACTCTGTGAAGAAAATTAGTTTGGGACTACAACTAGGTAAGACATACAGGGTGATGTTGAGGCACAGAACAGTGATAGAATTGTCCACACTGAATAGTGGCTCTGAAAGTAAAGAAAGGGCAGATAGAACATCTTGGATAGGGGTATGGGTGTTGTTGAACAGATGATTGAGAAAGGGGTCATTCATTTACAGGAAGTAATACGGTTTTGGTTTCCTATCCTATAATTACAACATATACATTAATGAGGTTTATGTTGGTGGAGTACATTATTACAATATATTTTAATGTGGGGATTGGCTAAGAGGGTCACGTGCAGAGCAGACAATATTTTTCCTGTAGTTTGATTCACTGTATTACCTGATTTCACACATTTTTGTCTGATCTAATAACCATACACTGTCTATCAATGTTCAGCATTTCACTTGCAATGAAAAAACAATCGTTTTTGCTTTAATTGAAAAGTGTGTTAATAATGGGTGTTTCTATCTTAAATGCAGATGGATTTATTACCACTATAATACAGCACCTTAAAAATTAGAGTTGATTGTTAGTTCTACGATGTAGCATCAGCTATCACAATTAACACTTGATAATTGAGTGATAATTGTTCACTGTGCTAATGAGTGCTATATTTTCCCTCTGTAAGTATGGCTGCTTGGGATCTGTCTGTGACAGTGGAGGAACTTGGCCCAGAGGCCCCACCCTTCAAAGTTAGCGTGACCTCAGACCTGCATATTGGTGGTGTCATTCTCAAAATTGTGGAGAAGACACGTGAGTTCCCTACCAATGTACACTTCAACTTCCATCCATATTGGTGGTATATTTAAGATAAGAGTATATTTAAGAAATAAGGCCAGAGGGGGTGTGGTATATGGCCAATATACCACGGCTAAGGGCTGTTCTTATGCACGATGCAACGTGGAGGGCCTGGACACATCCCTTAGCTGTGGTATATTGGCCATATATCACAAACCCTGAGGTGCCTTATTGCTATTATAAACTGGTTACCAATGTAATTAGAGCAGTAAAAATAAATGTTTTGTTATACCCGTGGTATACAGTCTGATATACCACCACTGTCAGTTAATCAGCATTCAGGGCTCGAACCACCCAGTTTATAACATCTATTTCATATGCAACCGTGGGGTGTAGAGTAGTAAGTTATTATTCATTTATACTCCACAACATCTGTAAGTCAGACAACAGAACATGAACATTGATTCCAAAACAACATTCAAAATATCTATGCAATGGAAAACAACAGACTGTACTGTATTTGGCTGAGAGTCAAATATGATCACCACTAGGCACCATAGATGTGTTTTAATACATCATTGCCAGACACCTCTCTGTCCACTCCAGAGATAAAGAAGGATTGGTCAGACCATGCCCTGTGGTGGGAGCAGAAGCAGCAGTGGCTGCTCCGGCCATCCTGGACCCTTGAGAAGTATGAAATCCATGCCGACGCTCGCCTGAGCCTCACCCCCCAGCACAAGACCCTGAGACTGGGCCTACCCAACGGGACCACCCTGAGGCTTCAGGCATGCTTCTCTCGTCCAGTCTTCCAAACGGTCATGGGGATCTGTCGTCTGCTGAGTAAGTAAATATATGAGGAAGAGTTCCCACCTAAATAAAGTAAGAGATTCTTCTTATTGTTGCAGATGTTAATCAGCATCCCCTTACACTGCTTCCCTCTGGTCATCCTCAGACCTGCGTCACCCAGAGGAGCTGTCGTTGTTACGGCCAGTGGAGGTGAAGAAAAAGAAAAAAGACAAGGAGGCAGAAGAGGAAGTAGTATATGATCTAACAGGCCTTCAGATCTCATCAGGTAGGTCTAGTCAAATTGGAGGTACACTTCAAATTTCAAAATGTCTGTTCAACATTCCGTACAGTAGCTTTCACTGTACAGTACACACCAAATACTGTGTAACATATCATAACTGCATGTGTAATAACGACAGGTTCAGCTCACACCCTCTCCAATGGCATGCCTGTGCACTTTGCTGACTCACCGCAGACTGAGGCTGTGTATAAGATGTTGTCTGTCAGCCTACCTGCACCTGCTCCTGAGACTATCACCAAGATGCCCCGTCCCACCAGCATTGTGGACAAGGCACAAGTTCACAGCAGGTGAGTGTCTTGTGTGTATGTGCACAGCACACATAGATATGTTTACGTATGTTACTCTGTGCGATAGTGGGTGTGATTAAATGTGTGTTTTATTATTGTATTTAGATGGCTGGATTCGTCTCGTTCTCTGCTCCAACAGGGAGTGCAGGAGCATGACAGGCTGCTGCTACGCTTCAAATACTACTGCTTCCATGACCTGGATCCCAAGGTAGGCCTGAACCACGCTTTCTGAGGGGCTATCAATTATTTCCTTTGTTTACCTCATGGTGGCCGTGAATTGGGCTGTGTGTAATCTGTCACTTTATCTACCTCGTCTCTGTCTCCAGTATGATGCGGTCCGTCTGACCCAGCTGTATGAGCAGGCTCGCTGGGCCATCTTGCTGGAGGATGTTGACTGCACAGAGGAAGAGATGATGCTCTTTGCTGCCCTTCAGGTAAACAACGACTGATTGAAATGTCACCAAAGGTTTTTCCCTGTGTATGACACATTGCTTCCCTTCTCTTTCACAATGTTATACGTTTGTGTATGTGATTTGTGTGTGTACACTATCCTCAGTACCACATTGGTAAGGTGTCTCTGTCAGAGCCCCAGCCGATGACATCATGTCCTGCCATGGATGACCTTGACTCTGCCCTTCAGTGTTTGGAGGTGAAGATGGAAGCGGACGAGAGCAGCACAGTGGACATGCTGGTTAGTCCCTCTGAGTCGGAAAAGGCTATACGGACACTCCTGATATTTAGTTTCAGAATTGGTTAAAATTAGGTTACGGTTAGGGTTAAGGGTTTGATTAAGGTTAGGGTTAAAGGGAAATTCGACTCAAAAACTATATTTTGGTATTTGTTTCATTAGTCCATTGTTGATATAGTCCCAAAATGTTTTGCATGTCAGCAATCAAATACAGCCAGTATGATGCATTTAGCCTGTATGATTCATTTTGCATCATATTTACATTTACATTTTAGTAATTTAGCAGACGCTCTTATCCAGAGCGACTTACAGTTAATGAGTGCATACATTTTTCATACATCATATGATTCAAAATGCATCATACCGGCTGTATCAACAATGGATTAATGAAACACATACCAAAATACAGATTTTGGGTGGAGTTTTCCTTTAAGGTCAGTTTTTGATCTTGGTTAGTTGTTTTGTAGGTCAGCAGTGTCCTTATAGTCTCTCCCCTCTGAATCTCCACTATACTGCACTGGTCTGTAGCTGTGGCCATGGCTGATTTGTAAGGCAGCAGGAAAGAAGTTGAATTGCAACTGCACATGAAAACACAAAATAGACACTTGATTTCATCTCTACACAGGAAACAATGACGGCAGCACCAGAGCTGCATGACTACTTGAAAATCTTCAGGTAATATGGGTTGACAACATAAACCATTGCTGGCTGGCTGAACGCCCTCTGACTCAGATCCATCTTTCTGCCGGTGACAACCTTTTCCTGCCTTGGATTTTAGATTGGATATCGATCACGCAAGATATATGAGACTTTCGGATAGTCTTGATTCGTTTTTTTATGAGACGTACACGTACTCACCCACCCATACACACCCAAGCAAACACACACTCCGATGCAGCCACCGTTATATTGATATGCACACTCACACACACATACAACTAACTGCATACCCTTTCCAATGTTGCAGAAAGACATTAGCATCCTAGTAGTACTTTGTTTTATCTCACTTTCTCCGACCTAGACCAAAGAGACTGACCCTAAAGGGCTATAAACAGTTCTGGTTCGCGTTCAACAACACATCCATCTCCTACTACAAGAGCAAAGAGGAGAGCCTCAAGGAGCCCATTCAGCAGATGAACCTCAAAGGTAAAATGCACTGACATGCACTGTGGTGAAACTGCACACCTACATGCACATACACTCAGCCCACATTTTCACATACAACCACAACCACACAAGCTGACACCCCTGCAAATATGTGTACATACAACATCCATTCTAGTACATAGAGCATCAGAAAGGACATTCTAAGCAAAATGTTACTTCTGGGTTAATCAATATTATTCTAGATATAATTAGATTTATTCGCTGATGACTTTAATAAGCCAAATGAGTCCAAACTGGCCCCATAAGACACTGCTGTGCTCCTCAGGCTGTGAGGTGGCCCCAGACGTTAGTGTGGCTGGTCAGAAGTTCTGCATCAGGCTGCTGATCCCTGGGGCTGAGGGCATGAACGAAGTCTACCTACGCTGTGAGAATGTAAGGAACTCAACTCTCAGCTCACTCTGTTTAGAGAATTCTTCACATGAATGAGAAGCTATTCGTATCATCCTATGTAACCTGTTCCAAGGAATAGACCCAACTGCTACATATCAATGTACTAAGTCCCACTATGTCATGCTCTGCTATGGTATATTTCCATCTTTCCATACCATGTCCATTCCTCTCCTGTCACTAGGAGCTGCAGTACAGCAGGTGGATGGCAGCTTGCCGTTTAGCCTCCAAAGGGAAGACACTAGCAGACAGCTCTTTCTCTAGTGAGGTGCAGAATATCCAGTCCTTCCTGGCCATGCAGCGAACCACCCCCGGGGCCAATACTGCTCAGACTGATGACAGCATCAACACACACAGCCTTGTATCTCCACGCTACCACAAAAAGTACAAGGCCAAACAGGTAAGAGTCATGGCGATCTGCGGGGGAACTCGCGTAATATTACAGAATGTATAATAATAGAAGCAAACATAACGTTCACACTTGACTAGTGATTCTAACCATCCCTCTGTTCTATCAGCTAACTCCTCGCATCCTGGAAGCATATCAGAATGTGGCCCAGCTCCCACTAACAGATGCCCTCCTCAGGTTTCTTCAAATCTGGCAGGCTCTACCTGACTTTGGGGTGTCTTATTTTGTGGTGAGGTGAGTACTTGTCCTTTTGTCAAATATTTTCCAGCTATCTGCCTTGTCAACATAGCACTAAATCTTAGCTCACTTGAAATTACCCAAATTCTACACATTTCCTGTATAATCACAGGTTTAAGGGATGCCGTAAAGATGATGTTCTTGGGGTCACCAACAACCGTCTCATCCGCATTGACCTCAGCATAGGAGATGTGGTGAAGACATGGAGATACAACACCATGAGGCAGTGGAATGTCAACTGGGATATTCAACAGGTAAGACGTCTCACTGTCTGCCTAATGTATCTTCATCTATCTGTTACCTGGTCTGTCTACTATATTGTTTCAAATATGTACAAACTAATTATGACTTAAATGTTTATCTGAAGAAGACCTATAAGTGGAATCAATTGTTAAACCTAATTTCTTTATTCCAGATGGCCATTGAGTTCAATGGCAATGTGAACATTGCCTTCAGCTGTGTGACAGCTACCTGCAAGATTGTGCATGAGTACATTGGGGGCTACATCTTCATGGCCACACGCACCAAAGAGCAGGCAGAGGTGTTAAACCAGGAGCTCTTCTTCAAGCTGACTGGTGGTCATGAAGCCATCTAAACATTCATGAATATCTGGATCTCAGAATGCACCTTTATGGTTTTATGGTACATGGACATGCAGTATTAGAACCAATCAAATAGGTTGTCAAGAGTCACCAAGACATTCAATGGGAAAGTGGTCAGTTGAACACGTTCTACATAGGCTACCATTTCCATGACTCAGAACTGTATTGTTATTACTCAACCATACAATATGTTTTACTGACGTTATAAAAGTCCATTTCGTTTTTAAATGTTTGTGTATTCTTCTATTCAAATGTATTCAATAGGCTACATCGATAATATTAAATGAATGGTATGCAAGAAAATTGCTTATTATTTGCTCTGTTGTTGTTGTTGTTCAAAATAATAAGACGTAAAAGGTGTACATTTATCACCAAGGCATAAAGCCTGATGGATGGATGGAGGCAGGCCATAGAAGTAGTTTGGAGGTGGGGGTGCTGCGATTTTTTTCGTGGCCGACGGGGGAAACTTTTTGCCCTCACTGCAGACGTCTATATCGGTCCACGCATGACTGTAAGTCGCTTTGGATAAAAGCGTCTGCTAAATGGCATATTATTATTATTATTATTATTATTATTATTATTATTATTATTATTATTATTATTCACCCCTACTTCCTGTGGCTATGAGGCAGGCCTACATTCACAGTCAGTCACAAAGGCTGTTTTAGGCTTATCTCATAGGAAACCACATACAGTGGGGAGAACAAGTATTTGATACACTGCCAATTTTGCAGGTTTTCCTACTTACAAAGCATGTAGAGGTCTGTAATTTTTATCATAGGTACACTTCAACTGTGAGAGACGGAATCTAAAACAAAAATTCAGAAAATCACATTGTATGATTTTTAAGTAATTAATTTGCATTTTATTGCATGACATAAGTATTTGATCACCTACCAACCAGTAAGAATTCCGGCTCTCACAGACCTGTTAGTTTTTCTTTAAGAATCCCTCCTGTTCTCCACTCATTACCTGTATTAACTACACCTGTTTGAACTCGTTACCTGTATAAAAGACACCTGTCCACACACTCAATCAAACAGACTCCAACCTCTCCACAATGGCCAAGACCAGAGAGCTGTGTAAGGACATCAGGGATAAAATTGTAGACCTGTACAAGGCTGGGATGGGCTACAGGACAATAGGCAAGCAGCTTGGTGAGAAGGCAACAACTGTTGGCGCAATTATTAGAAAATGGAAGAAGTTCAAGATGACGGTCAATCACCCTCGGTCTGGGGCTCCATGCAAGATCTCACCTTGTGGGGCATCAATGATCATGAGGAAGGTGAGGGATCAGCCCAGAACTACACGGCAGGACCTGGTCAATGTCCTGAAGAGAGCTGGGACCACAGTCTCAAAGAAAACCATTAGTAACACACTACGCCGTCATGGACTAAAATCCTGCAGCGCACGCAAGGTCCCCCTGCTCAAGCCAGCGCATGTCCAGGCCCGTCTGAAGTTTGCCAATGACCATCTGGATGATCCAGAGGAGGAATGGGAGAAGGTCATGTGGTCTGGTGAGACAAAATTGAGCTTTTTGGTCTAAACTCCACTCGCTTTGTTTGGAGGAAGAAGAAGGATGAGTACAACCCCAAGAACACCATCCCAACCGTGAAGCATGGAGGTGGAAACATCATTCTTTGGGGATGCTTTTCTGCAAAGGGGACAGGACGACTGCACCGTATTGAGGGGAGGATGGATGGGGCCATGTATCGCGAGATCTTGGCCAACAACCTCCTTCCCTCAGTAAGATCATTGAAGATGGGTCGTGGCTGGGTCTTCCAGCATGACAATGACCCGAAACACACAGCCAGGGCAACTAAGGAGTGGCTCCGTAAGACGCATCTCAAGGTCCTGGAGTGGCCTAGCCAGTCTCCATACCTGAACCCAATAGAAAATCTTTGGAGGGAGCTGAAAGTCCGTATTGCCCAGCGACAGCCCCGAAACCTGAAGGATCTGGAGAAGGTCTGTATGGAGGAGTGGGCCAAAATCCCTGCTGCAGTGTGTGCAAACCTGGTCAAGACCTACAGGAAACGTATGATCTCTGTAATTGCAAACAAAGGTTTCTGTACGAAATATTAAAAAAGTTCTGCTTTTCTGATGTATCAAATACTTATGTCATGCAATAAAATGCAAATTATTACTTACTAATCATACAATGTGATTTTCTGAATTTTTGTTTTAGATTCCGTCTCTCACAGTTGAAGTGTACCTATGATAAAAATTACAGACCTCTACATGCTTTGTAAGTAGGAAAACCTGCAAAATTGGCAGTGTATCAAATACTTGTTCTCCCCACTGTATGTGGTTTCCTATGAGATAAGCCTAAAACAGCCTTTGTGACTGACTGTGAATGTAGGCCTGCCTCATAGCCACAGGAAGTAGGGGTGAATAATAATAATAATAATAATAATAATAATAATAATAATAATAATATGCCATTTAGCAGACGCTTTTATCCAAAGCGACTTACAGTCATGCGTGGACCGATATAGACGTCTGCAGTGAGGGCAAAAAGTTTCCCCCGTCGGCCACGAAAAAAATCGCAGCACCCCCACCTCCAAACTACTTCTATGGCCTGCCTCCATCCATCCATCAGGCTTTATGCCTTGGTGATAAATGTACACCTTTTACGTCTTATTATTTTGAACAACAACAACAACAGAGCAAATAATAAGCAATTTTCTTGCATACCATTCATTTAATATTATCGATGCCATAATACTATAGCTGCCATATACTTGTTCTCCCCACTGTAGGTCTCCTGCTACAGTGCATACTGCCTAAATACCTAAAAGAAACTAAAGTATATGGCAGCTATAGTCTTCTGTAGTGCATTTTCTATAGACTGTAGTAGAATAACATTTTGGAAGAAGAGACCGACAGCTGCAGAATTTGTGTTTAGGACTGAATAATTCAGCTTTATTAATTTTTATTAATCGTACATTGAGCTCCAAGATTATTTGTTGTTGTTGTTTTGGCTCTGTACTCCAGCACTTTGGATTTGAAATGATACAATGATTGTGACTGTGCAGACTGTCAGCTTTAATTTCAGGGTATTTTCATCCAAATCGGGTGAACCGTATAGAAATTAAAGCACTTTCTGTACATAGTCCCCCCATTTTAGGAGACCAAAAGTATTGGGACAAATTCACTTACATGTGTATTAAAGTAGTAAAAAGTTAAGTATTTGGTCCCATATTCATAGCACGCAATGACTACATCAAGCTTGTGACTCTACAAATTTGTTAGATGCATTTGCTGTTTGTTTTGGTTGTGTTTCAGATTATTTTGTGCCCAATAGAAATGAATGGTAAATAATGTATTATGTCATTTTGGAGTCACTTTTATTGTAAATAAGAATATAATATGTTTCTAAACACTTCTACATTAGCAGATAATCCTGAATGAATCGTGAATAATGATGAGTGAGTTCAAATATCCTACCCCAAAGACATGACAGCATTTTATTGTGGTATGGTATTTGTGCGTCTGTATCATTATTCACGATTCATTCAGGATTATCCCTAATCATGGTAGCATCCACATTAATGTAGAAGTGTTTAGAAACATAGAAGTCCCCACAAGAATAGTAAACAAACAAAAATTTGACCAACTGGGGACATTTTGTTTGTCCCCACAAAGTCAAATGCTATTTCTAGGGGGTTTAGTGTTAAGGTTAGAATGAGTGTTAGAATAAGGTTTAGGGTTAGGAGCTAGTTATGTTTTGGGGTCAAGGTTAGGGTTAAGGGAAAATAGGATTTTGAATGGGACTGAATTGTGTGTCCCCACAAGTTTAGTTATACAAGTGTGTGTGTGTGTGTGTGACTATATCTGTGTGAGTGTGTGCGTGAGTGAGCGCATATGTGCTAAGCTGCTGAGAATCAGTGCAGGTGGTCAGTCCAGATCAAGTGTTCAGCAGTATGATGGCTTGTAGATAAAAACTGTCTCTGAGCCTGTTGGTATCAGACCTCCCACTGGGCAAATATGTAAATTCAACGTTTATTCCACATTGGTTCAACGTAATTTCATTGAAATTACGTGGAAACAATGTTGATTCAACCAGTGTGCGCCCAGTGGGCTAATGCTCTGATACCGACAGTAAGGGAGTGAACAGCTCGGGGCTGTGGTGTGTGGGGTCATTGATAATGCTGCAGGCCTAGTTTTAGTTAAGTCTGGGGGCATGGTTCTTCTGGTGTGACTCTGTAGCAAGTACTTAATAGGCTTCTAATGATAACAACTAAGAATGAATGCACAGAGACCATTTATGCCATTTCCCATAGAGAATGATAGTGGCCTCTAGTGGTCAAAATGCCAATTAGCATGGGCAGCGCCATTGAGGGCGTCCACCATTTTAATGTATTCAACTGGGTGGGACTTCCAAGGTCATTGGCTGATCCCTCCACGTGACCCTGTTGGCGGGATCATCCAATCGTGAAGAAGGAAATTGACTACTTCAAAATGGAGATTGCCTCAATGGCGCTGCCCATGCTGTCACAGACACTATATAGCTCGCCAGCTTGTAGTCCTAAAACCCGGAAATGAGTTACCTCCGGTTCGTTCAGCCATTCCTATGGTGAAAATGAATTGGGAAAGAACAGGGTTTTGGGATAAACGCCGAAAATAAGGTCTGGGCTTAACACAAGCTTAGGAGATGTTATATGTTTTGTTCTATGTGATAATATCCGTCAGTTAACATGACCTTTATTAATTATGATTCAAATAACCTTTTTTTTTATTAAGTAATGCTTCAAAATTCACAGAAAGTGAAGTTAGCTGATAAAGATGATCTCATAGAACAAAACGTATAAGATCTCCTAAGCTTGTGCTTAACACATACCTTATTTTCGGCATTTATCAAAAAACGCCATGAATTTCTCCATAGGCTTTGTCTAACGAACCATGGCGGAGTTAGTGCCTACAAAAAGACACCGTTTCTATTTCTCTCTGTAATGGCACAGATACAAAAGATGAGTCCTCTATCTATGTCTATGTCCATTTCCCCATAACTCCTTGCGCGCTTCTACATTCACAGATGACCAAAATGGCGGATTCGTCGGTGGGTACTCGATAATCCCAAATTATTATACAATTACAACGTTTATATGTAGATGTGTGCCCTCGACTTTCATTAATATATATTTTCAATATCTTATCTTTCGACAGGTCGATGTTATCGAGGGCTGTCGGCTCCCTGTTCTCCGAAAAAATCAGGAAAACGAAGACGAGTGGCGTGAGTGTCGTCTCTTGGCTACCGTTAGGGTAGCTAGCGCTACACTAGCTGCATAATAAAACAACTGTCATGGCTGAATGTTTGAAAACACAAGCGCTTAGCTACGGCTAGTGGCTGATTGGAAAAAAAGGCACTGGTGGAGTTTTACGGCGATTTAAATTGCTTTCTACTTGTGTGTGAACGCTAGTTTGTTAGTTAGCTACCTACGTATTTTGATACTGTGTATGCTGAAATTAGCTACATAAAGTAACATTCACATTTTGTGCGCTGTTCGAATTTCGTATATACTAGCTAGAAAGCGTACTTGGCTATCTAGCTAGCTTCCTACCTAATTTATAAATTGGAACAGCGAATATGCTCATTGCTTGGGTAGGATTAGGTATCGAGATCTGTCATGTCGTGTGATGTTTTCTTTGCAGCCCTGGCCGAAATTCTCAGTGTGAAAGAGATCCCTGGGAGAAAACTCTACTATGTCCACTATATTGACTGTGAGTAGCCTATGCTTCATGTAATTCAGAGTGAATATGAGTGTAATGTTCCGACATTGTCAATAGTGATCTTCACAGGAGAAGCACATGTCCCAGTATGTATAACTGTCAATTTGGGAAACATTTGACTAGATGTCATCTCCGGTGTGTGTATACGTGTTTGTGTCTCTGCTTGTGTTTAAAGTCAACAAGCGTCTGGATGAGTGGGTTACGCCGGAAAGGCTTGACATGAAGAAGCTCCAGTTCCCTAAGAAGGAGGCTAAAACGCCTACTAAGAACGGGCTTCCGGGGTCACGGCCTAGCTCCCCTGAGAGAGAGGTGGTAAGAGCGGCCGGAGCTGGCCCCCAACATCCTCCCAGCAGGCCTCCCCAGCCACAAACCCAGCAGAAGTCTCTACCCACCAAGACTTCTATACCAGACTTTCAAGTGCTACAACAACAAGTTCAGGTTTGGCAGTAGTGTCTTAAGCCCAGTCCTGGGAATTGTACACTGATGCTGACAACTAACATTGTTGTACACTGATGCTGTCTTGATTTGATTATAACCTAGATGTTTTTTTGCAGTTGTGCTTAATACTGAGATTTTGGACAGCTATCTTGGTTAAACCAGTCCACTACACTACAACCTAATTGTAAACACCACCATTTGGTATATAGTCTTTTGAAGCTATGATCATTTATTGAAATTAGACAAATGAAGAGGATGAAATAATTTATAGACCTTTGTTAAATGAAAATGGCACAATTGGTGCTATATTAATTATTTCAAAGATCTCATAAAATGAAACGTCAAGTGGCTTAATTCAAGATTTCTGTGAAATAACTGTTCTCTGGTCTTGCCTCTGTGAGGAGACAGAAGTGGAATAATAAGGTGCCAGGGGATGTATTTCTTCTGTTTCATGATATATAAATGCATTTACAAATCTTTTAGCTTAAATTTGTTACAAAAAAGCATTTGTACTCAGTATAAAAAAATAAATGAATGCACTCACTGTAAGTCGCTCTGGATAAGAGCGTCTGCTAAATGACTAAAATGTAAATGTACTCAGAAAATAGTCGTGTTGTCCTTTTATACGGTCATTCCATGTATTTATTTTTATACACTGGCTTATTAAGTCATTCTCAGGCATGTGTTGATATTTTCAACTGCTCAAATATATGCTTTCTTGACTGGTTATGCTTCTATTACAATATTTAATGGATAACATGATTAGTTCAGGTGAAAAATGCAACTCAGTACTTGTGGAGGTTTGAGTGTGACTGTCAGTTAATCCCCTTCCTCTCTTCCTTTCTGTTCAAATTCAGAGGAAGAGTCTTGATCTCAACCTTCAGACTGCCACAGCTCCTTCCAGAGGCAAAACCCTGCCCACACCGGTACAGCTTCAACTTACCCATTCTACACAGAGCCATGATTAACAACTGTTCAGTCCACAAAGTCAGAATGGGTTTATAGCTAAATTTGAATAGTAACACCAACCAAATTTAGATGCACTCAAGCTATTTTTGAACTTACAGATGTATAATTCTAAAATCAAGGAGAAACATCTTGCGAATAGATCAGTGGTCCGACTGGTCGATCTCCAACGCATTCCTAGTCGATCACCAAACATTTCTGTAAAAAACCCAACGATTTATTTGTTTCTCACTGATGGCGGTAGGTGCACTTGATTCAGCAGCCCTAGCGCCGGGAAGGCAAAGTGTTCCCATTTTGAACCATTTCATGTGTCTGAAGGTAGAACTCTGCCTACCGGGCAGGCCCAGAGAGCAAATCAAGTGCACCTATAGGTCTACTGCTGGCCAATCAGATAACTCAGATCACTGTGTCTGCACAGTTTCCACGAGCCATAGACTAAAAAGAAGCCTCAAACGCACAGCAAAGTTGATACTGTGAGATTTCAAAACTTTTTTAAAACCATGACTAGAGAGACTCAACGAATACAGCAAAGAGCTGCTGTTTTTGAGTAAGTTCTTGTTTAAGTTGTTATTCAACATTGTCAACACTTATAAGCCATAAAATGCGTGTTCTCCCTCCTTCCACTCACGCTACAACCAGCGCTGCAATGAATGAGTATAGTAAAGTGTTCCGATAAGCTTGCGTTGTTATTATTAGTGGCTTGTCTTTTTTATATCGAGGAATATTTAATCTTTCTCTGGTCATAGGAGTAACAACATGAATTGGTGCATGAGGCAGAAATAATGCAGTGTGACTTGAGTTTCGCCATCAGCTGGAAGACCGTGTCCCCTTTTCTCAGCGGAGGGGCGGTGAGTCGGGTGAGAGGCAGCCTCACCTCAGCTCACTCCCTCCCCTCATGCAGGCCATCAGTCCAGAAAGAAAAAATGGCTAATTATTATGCTCACTCAGCTGTGCCTCACAAGTAATACAACAAGTTATCTATTACCAGTGTTTAAATATAATTTCAAAATGGTCTGGGAAGAACATTGGTAGTGCAATTGAAGCATAGCCAGTATGCAGTGATAATGTATTGGACCTATAGCCTACTGCACTAATATAATTGCTACAGAACTGTTTTTAATTGGTTAATGTTGCATAGGCTTAAATTGTTTTAAGTCATGTTTTTAAAAAAATCTGAGTGGTGATCTGCTTGCATTTTGACTCAGTGATCTTGACTCAGAAAAGGTTTGTGACCACTGGAGTAGATGATAAGTGATATTGTTGACTGGGGGGTTTTGCCCCGGCCCTAGAATATGACTGGTAATGTAAAAGATGACTATAATACCTCGGTTATGCCTGTGGTGTGGTTGGCATTTGAAATAACATCAACATAATCTTAAGAGATTAATTAAATGTCTCTTGAGTGAGATTTTTCTCATGTCTGCCCATGTTTCGCCTCTCATACAGAAGAGGAAAGCAGAGTCTGTGTCCCTGGCAACACAAGTGTCCCCGGCAACCCCCGTGCCATCCTTGCCAGGTTCAGCTGAAGCCTCCCAGGTGTCAGTTTACCCTGCTGTGAGGGACACCAACACCTTCAACCTCAAATCCAACGCCCACGATGACCATGAGCAGCTTACCTCGCTCACCACAGTAAACCAACATTTGATAACCTTGCCCTTCTGTAATGATCAATCTCTAGCCTCCCACTATGACTGTGTCTGTGTTTTGATTTCTTATCTCCTCCCCTTTTCAAATCATCCCAGAATGGTACTGCCCGTCGCCCCATGCCCAATCAGCCAGGCAGGAAGAGGAAGCAGCCCCCCAACTGCGGGGGAACCGATGAGGTATGGAACACTCATTAGTTGCTCTTGTTTCTACTGTTGACCATAATCTCTTCCATCATTCACATTTATAGAGTGACACACTTTAGCATTATACTGGCATCAACAATTAATTCTTATGTTTTTGGAAATTGCATCAGCATCCTTTTAGTTTAAATGCATCAAAAAGAAAACAGATTTTAACACAGGATAAAGCACAATAATATCCAGCTAGGGCCCTTACTACATTAGACTAGTCTGAGCCGGGATACTAGACTAGTGTTGACTAACAGGATCTTACTGTCCTTGACCTATAGGTCTACCTTTCATGGTTATATGGTTTCAGTTAGACAGTAATCTGTATCAGAAGCCTGTTAGCATCAGCACAAGCACATTTTCAACAATGTTACTTGCAGCATTGTGATAATGTGAGGAGGCAAAATTGCATTTTACATAATTATCTGTGTGAACTCAGTAATTATCAACTACTATGATTTATTGCCTTCCCCTTTCTGTATAATGTTAAGATATCCATCCCAAATTAACAAGGAAAGAAAGAACAGGTCAATATAATATATGAAGAAATCTCCCTGTTGACCTTTAATCCCTTAATCGTCCCTCATTGGTATAATTTGTGTAAACGATAATCAATTCCATCCCTCTTAAATCAGTGTCCAAAAGCCCTCTAATCCGCTTGTTTTTTTGTTAGATAATTAAGGTTTTCCAGTATAACAACAGCCCTCGATGTGCCAGTGTCTATCTGCCGACAGGAGAGGTCCGTCTCATTTCTTTCTCATTGCCCTTGTCTCTTTGTTTATGGAATTATTTTAAAGGTTATGGCCTTCGATCAGACCTTTATTATTTAATATGAGAGCTATTTCTCAGTGTATGGTTGAGTTTTTCTGATTAAACATAGGCGGTTTTTACAGTTGTTTCATTTTAATTTATTGGCTTTTATTTGGACAAGGTTCTAAGACAATGCATCAGATATGGAATACTATTGTTCTCTTCCATTTTGAATCAGGACTCGCAGGACAGCTCCGATGGCATCCCCTCTGCCCCTCGCATGACTGGCAGTCTGGTGTCGGACCGTAGCCATGACGACATTGTCACGCGTATGAAGAACATTGACTGCATTGAACTGGGCCGCCACAGGCTGAAGCCCTGGTACTTCTCCCCCTACCCACAGGAACTGACCACATTGCCTATTCTCTACCTCTGCGAGTTCTGCCTCAAGTACCTCAAGAGCCTCAAGTGTCTGCAGAGGCATCTGGTGAGACGCTACATAAGAATATCTCAATGGAATGAATGTGTGTAACACCAGTACAAGAGACTGTGGAGAGGGTTGCTGTACAGTTATGGTATTGTTTGAGCTACAGAAGACCAGGGGTCAACCGACCAGCTAGGCTGAGCTAAGGGATATAGCTACACTGAGTCTACAAAACATTAACACCTGTTCTTTCCTTGACATAGACCGACCAGGTGAATCCAGGTGAAAGCTATTATCCCTTATTGATGTCACTTGTTAAATAATAATAATATAATATGCCATTTAGCAGACGCTTTTATCCAAAGCGACTTGCAGTCATGTGTGCATACATTTTTACGCATGGGTGGTCCCGGGGATCGAACCCACTACCCTGGCGTTACAAGCGCCATGCTCTACCAATTGAGCTACAGAGGACCACTTCAATCAGTGTAGATGAATGGGAGGAGACGGGTTAAAGAAGGATTTTTAAGCCTTGAGACATGGATTGTGTATGTGTGCCCTTGAGGGTTAATGGGCAAGACAAAAAATGTAAGTGCCTTTAAATGAGGTATGGTAGTAGGAGCCAGGCGCACCGGTTTGTGTCAAGAACTGCAACACTGCTGGGTTTTTCACGCTCAACAGTTTCCCGTGTGTATTGAATTGAGGCTGTTCTGAGGGAAAAGGGGGGCAACTCAATATTAGGAAAGTGTTGTTAATGTTTGGTATACTCAGTGTATATTTCCACTAGGGGCTTGGATACAGAGCCACCTTGTCTATGCATGTGATCCTATATTATTCTCCTGCTCTCATCCAGACCAAGTGTAATCTTCGCCATCCCCCTGGCAATGAGATCTACCGCAAGGGCACCATCTCCTTTTTTGAAATAGATGGCAGAAAAAACAAAGTGAGTAAAGTCCATGATCCTCCCAGCTGTTATTCTAATGAGTTTCATTGAGATTCTCGCTTCACAACTCTTGTTTCTCCCATGTTTGCCAGACATACTCTCAGAACCTGTGTTTACTGGCCAAGTGTTTCCTGGACCACAAGACCCTGTACTATGACACAGACCCCTTCCTCTTCTACATCATGACAGAGTACGATGCCAAGGGCTTCCACATAGTGGGCTACTTCTCCAAGGTACACTGAACTCCCCTTATATCCTGGTATTAGCAGATAAACATCTGTTGCTCACAAATATCAGCAATAATACTATGTAATACTTGCCATCATAACCAACTCCTTAGACATGTTGAAAATACATATGCTTTTTGCAGCTGACTTGCTCTTCCTTTCTGTACGCAGGAGAAGGAGTCGACGGAAGATTACAATGTGGCTTGTATCCTCACCTTACCTCCCTACCAGCGGAGAGGCTACGGCAAATTGCTAATTGAGTTCAGTAAGTGACATAACAGACTTTTTAAAAACATTTAAATATTGGATCTTGGTTTAAATCTGCACAATGTACTTCTACCTCTGTGTCAAAATGATCTGTGGGAGTGTGTTGAAATGTGGCCATTCGGTATGCGGTAAATAAAGGTCTTGTTTCTGTTGGTCATCAGGTTATGAGCTGTCTAAGGTAGAGGGGAAGACGGGCACACCAGAGAAGCCTTTGTCTGACCTGGGGCTGCTCTCCTACCGCTCCTACTGGTCCCAGACCATCCTGGAGATCCTCATGGACCTCAAGCCTGACAATGGGGAGAGGCCTCAGATCACAATCAAGTACGACTGTCCTGTTATTCTCTCAGCTTGTTCTCTTTTATAGCTCAAGTTGCAGTGATTTCTGTAACCTAATATCACGTGGTCTTGTGTATTTCCAGTGAGATCAGCGAGATCACCAGTGTGAAGAAAGAGGATGTCATATCTACACTTCAGTACCTAAACCTAATTAACTACTATAAGGTGAGAGATACCAGAGTGCAGGGGACAGCACTTCAGCACTGTAATTTTAGCTGTTAAGGGGCAATCTTGATCAGCATATTTGAACCTCTTCTCTCCCTGTGGTTTCTCAGGGCCAATATATTCTGACTCTTTCGGAGGACATAGTGGAGGGGCATGAGAGAGCAATGCAGAAGCGTCACCTGCCCATCGACCCCAAATGCCTTCACTTCACCCCCAAGGACTGGAGCAAGAGGGGCAAGTGGTAGAACCCTGTCTGGTTCTCCTGGCCCCGCTCTCCCTCTCTTACCGCATACTTTCCTGACGCTCTCAGGAAGGAGAGCACCACAGGTCTCCTCAGAGAGGGAGCTTCATTCAATTTCATCTGACCCTTTTTGTCAAATATGTAAAAATGAACAACTGTTTCTATTCAGCATCCTTTTTTACAATTATGCCCAACCTCCTATTACCCATGTTTCATCTCACTGTTCTGTCTTTGACACAAGTAGATCCATTTGCTTAGTCTCAATAGTAGGAATGGTCATAATTTTGGATAGAGGACGCCTACCCTCTGTTTTATCACCCTCCTGGCACACTCTGTCTTCCACACTCTTGGACTAGTTGGTAGTATGTGCTCATGTTAGTGAACATCACTCTGTTATTGTTTTGGCTGTAATCCTGGATTTTGACTACACATGTCCACAGTTTCATTGATCCAACACACAATGAGAATTACAGATCTAACTGTGCTTGTAATTGTATATACACTATTGCTGTTTTATAAATGATTTTTAAAGTGGTGTTGCATTTCTGTATGTCAAATGTAATGTGGGGATGCTCAGTACAGAAAATAAGCCATGTCGAACTGTTACAAGAATGTAAATGTGGATACCTGTACAGTTCTGTCCTTAAAAAAAAAAAACTTGAATGTAAATTAACATGTTTGGCACAATATGTGTCATTTAATTTAATGACTATTTACTGTACATTTGTGTGTATAGTTAGGGATTTGTAACAAGTGATTCATACTTTGTTTTTCTGTTGTCGCTAATATTTAGTTATTTCCCTTCATATTTAAGTGCAAATTCAACATTGATTTGTTTTCTGTTTTGTATTATATGAACAGTGCATGGGTTTGTAAGTGGTTTAGAGATAGGGGAATCAGTGATTTTTGGCAACACTGAAAAAGGCTATAAATCTAACAAACAGATTATTGTTATAATAGCCTAAAGAGCGATGGATTTACACATATCTAATAAACCAGGACACTTTTACTGGGTTTCATGACTTTATGAGTTTTCAAAGGATAAAATCTGAGTTGTCATCACTGATCTGGAGAAAGAAATAAGGTTGTTTTCTTTAAGTTTGACACTTATTTCCCTATTCGTGGTCATTCCCCTGAATGTCCTCCTGTGTTGCCTGAAAAGGACGTCAACACAACTGTTTAGGAGCTGAATCAGAAGTCTTATTCCTTGACTGTTTACACATTTCCAGGCAGTTATACAGGCAGCCCAATTCTGATATTTTGCCAAATTAGTTTCAAAAGAGCTGATCTGATTGGTCAAGAGGTCAATTTACTGGCCAAAAGATCAGAATTGGGCTGCCTGTGTAAATGCAGCCGTAGGCAGCAGACATCAATTTATATGTAAGTAAAATGTAGCTATGTTGTACTCTGCTCCAGAAGTTTGTCTACAGAGAGAAATGCTCTCACCTCAAAGAAGGCATCGATGAGGCGCTCCAGAACACAGCCCTGGGAGCGGAACGTCTGCTGGTTCTGATCTATGGCTGCCAGCAGTCTGAGGTAGCTGGTGATCAGCTCTATCTCCCTATGGACCAGTCATGTTGGGGCTCTTGTTAGATTGCGACTACAGCACAGACTACAGTAAAATGGCTTGGCAAAACAGGCTTTTCTGTTAGCATTGTGAACCAAGTTGACAGCTGGCTTTTCTCCTGTTTAGTGTTTGACATAGTTTCTTACCTCTTTCCATACTTATTTTCACTATAGCTCAATTTGAGGGCCTCTTCATAGAACTCCTCATCGGTCTGTGGTTCAATGGGCTGGGGCTCTACAGACAGGTAAAGAGAAGAGGAGACCGGTTCAGTCGTCTTTCTGTTGCCTATTGTTTGTATTTTGCCTCACCCACAAGTACATGTGGTAGCCTTTTGAAAAATGTAGGGCCGACCAACCAACCTAACTTCTTCATTGACTGCATCTCGCTCTCATATACCTCTTGGAACTAAAGTAGAAAAGAATGCAGTGTTATGTTCAGCAAAATCTACTGCAGTATCTGTCTTTCTTGCCTTATTGTTTGTCATGGTCGGAATACCTTTTGGATCTTTGACGCCATCCGTCTCTTGATTGTCATCTGGAAGTTGTCGACAAGGACAGCAATGAATAGACTATGCAGAGAAAATCACAATGTACAATCAACAGGGTGTTTGCTCTTGGAAGAACTTAGTAGGAGTATCATACATGTACTGTATTGTCTTTGTTGCAACATTTTCAAGCCTACTCACTTGAGGAAAGTGAAGTATTCCACCACAATGTACAGGACAAGAAAGATGATAATATGAGGTGCACCTGTCATTCATAAAAAGTTAAAGTCATGACCACAAATAGTTACATCATGTGATGATTGGTGACTGACCATGCATGACACACAGACTGTAGTGTTCCCTCCCTCACCGTTGTCTCGGCTGGTAGAGTAAATGAAAGCCCAGTCATCCAGCGTGAGCAGCTGGAACAGAGTGAAAATTGTCCGAAACATGGTGCCAAAGCGATGCGGGTCAGACTCGTTAAACATCTCTCGGAAAATGACAGCAAACATGAAGAGGAATGTGAACATGAGGATGATGATGGCACCCATGGACTGGAGAGACTGGAGACAGGTGGACACAATGGACTGGAGATTTTGGAGGAAGCTGTCAAGGAAAGAATTACATGTTACTGAACCATGATGAAAGATATTAGATAGGGATGTATTCATATAGTTTATGTACTTGGGGTGTCAGAGTTCATCCACTGAAGTGCTATCAAGGGAAGTCAAACAGAGGGGTGGTCGGTCTGAATAATGAGTTCATGCTGAAAAACACTTGAGGCGTCCTACCGGATGGTACGCAAGACCCGGAACGCTCGGATGGCCCGGACCCCTTTGAAGAGCTTGAGGATGCGGAAGATTGTGGATGCCTGGCCTCCACTGAAGTTCCCTGCAGACTCAATGAGTGGCAGCAGGAAGTCAATGAGGCTCATCGTAATTATGAAAAAGTCTGAGACAGGCAGAGAACAGAGGGAGAAAATAAAAATGAGATGAAACAGTGGGAGACTCGTTGTTGTAAAACATTGGAGAGGGTTTTTTGCGACTGCCCCCAAGCCAATGTAAACAGCTACCTACCCAGGTCATTCCAGGGATTTTTGAAGTAGAGTCGACCCCAGACAAGCAGTTTCAGCACACATTCCGTTAAATAGATCGCCAGAAAAGCAGAATCGAGAGCTGAGAAGAACCACCCTGGCATTGGGAAACAAAACAGATGTCATTAACACACTTCAACCCATGCATGAGAATAGAGAACTTACTAAATGTAGATTTTAAAGGGTCACAATGTATTTTCCCTGTTTCTCACACCTCCTCTCACAGTCACACTTTCAAATGTCTGGGCCACCAGGGTCCCTGTGTTGAGCACCACCACAAACAGGATGAACTTGTCAAACATGGGGTCTTCTGTGAAGGCCACAATGATCCTGAACAGCTGATGCATCCAGTCCTGCAGGGCACCCCATGCCCTCAGCCAACCTTTCCTAGAGTTCCGCTGCTCCTTGATCCTCCGCTGCTCATCTGAGAGAGAGAGAGAGAGAGAGAGAGAGAGAGAGAGAGAGAGAGAGAGAGAGAGAGAGAGAGAGGAGAGAGAGAGGAGAGAGAGAGAGAGAGAGAGAGAGAGAGAGAGAGAGACACCATAGGAGGTTGGTGGCACCTTAATTGGGGAGGACTGCCTCGTGGTAATGACTGGAGCGGAATTAGTAGAATGGTTTCAAACACATCAAACATATGGAAACCACATGTTTGACTCTGTTCCATTTATTCCATTGCAGCCATTACAATGAGTATGTCCTCCTATAGCTTCTCCCACCAGCCTCCTCTTGTACACACATAATTAAAGTGGACATTGTGAGTTGTAACTTTTCCGGGACAGTTTGCCCCTATGACGATAGTTGTCAGTATACTGTACTTCACATACCTTTTTGGATGAGCCTCTTCAACATTTCACCATCTAAGGCCTCACATGTTGAGAACACTCGCTTCTTGTGTGGCTGCTTCCCGCCTATGGATGACTTGTGGTGGCTGGTTGAGCCTGCATAATAGATCATGAATGATGATGCTCATAGACATACAAACACACAGAGGTACAGAGAGGTTTGATGACAGTGTGGATTATAAATATTGGATTCTGAAGTCATTCTTCAGAATGGGTGATATGATTTATTAGAATCCCCATTAGCCGACGGGAATGGCGACAGCTAGTCTTACTGGGGTCTGACACATAACGAAAAATACATTATGTGGAGTATGGGTATGGGGAGTCTTACCCTTTCCAGCCACTGTCTGCCTGTATGATGGTTGATGTTCCATCTTGTACTCCAGGCTAAACACACACACACACCGCAGAGAAGAGTACCAGAAAAGTATAATGAAAACATGTAACATCAAACGTGTAATCTCTTATTGTAACAACCTGTAAAGCTACTGACCACCAAAATGGTCATAGTGGAGAACCTTGAGCACTTTCTGATGGCAGCACAATGATATATTGTATTGTTAGACTTAGAGGAACTTTACTTTTCCAAGGGAACATTACTTCATGCCATCACTACTTTATCTTCACAACAATGACCAGTGTCATTAGCTACAAACACGTATAATTAAGGCATCTGTCAAATATTCATCAATACAAACAAGTAGCTAAGCATTTACCGTATTGTCTCTGGAAAAATAAAACCTTCTGCATAGAGGAATGGTACAGAATGCCACTGGAATCCATCCGTGCGTCATAAGGACTTCTTTATTCTCGATGCTTCCTTGACCATTCTATTCCATTAATTATATTCTACTCTACTGTGCTATTATTTCTCGTTTTTTTCTGTCTGCATTGTTGGGAAGGGCCCGTAAGTAAGCATTTCACTGTTACTCTACACCTGTTGTTTACGAAGCATGTGACAAATACAATTTGATTTGATTTGAAGAAGAATGAGCGTTCACTTTTCTGTGGGTGTCAAGCAAACGGCAGCAATTCTTCTTTGTACCACAAGGGCGCGGGATGATACAAGTGTAGTTTACAACAATTGTTTTCAGTTGATGTGAGAGGATCTCTTGCGTCCAAAATGGACTCTTCCTTGGCTTGTTATAACAAACCATTTCAATTTGAACCATTTCAATTTATTTTGGAATAGTGGTAAAAAACAGGGCATACTTATATTTTGTCAGATTTCCAACACATTTTGAAATAGTAATATGGTGACATTTTGAAATGTATCATATCAGATTTTATTGGTCACATACACGTTTAGCAGATGTTAGTGCGGGTGTAGCGAAATGCTTGTGTTTCTACCTCCAACAATACACATAATACACACAATCTAAAAGTAAAAGAATGGAATTAAGAAATATATAAATATTAGGACGAGCAATGTCGGAGAGCCATAGACTAAAATACAGTAGAATAGAATACAGTATATACTTGTGATAGGTTGTCATTGTAAATAAGAACGTTCTTAATTTACTTACCTGTATAAATAAAGGTGACATGATTTTTATTTATTTATTGGCTATTCACTACGTTTTATGAAAACAACAACACGTGCGTAATTTCGTAAATATAGGCAAAATTGTTATTCTGGATTTTTGTTTTATCCCTAAGAAGTCGAAAACAACATCCTGTCTGTGGAATTTAAGACAGACTTCTGGCAGTCGTGGAGTACCCCCAACAGTATACATTTTTGTTGTAGCCCTGGACACTTAATTCAACTTCTCAATTTATCATCAAGCCGTCAATGAGTTGAATCAGGTGAGTTTGTCCGGGGCAACAACCAAAATGTGTGCTGTTGGGGATACTCGAGGACAGACCTACTGCACCCTTCCCCTGAAGTTGGACCTAATGACCACTGTCAAGGTCGATGCGTAAAGTTGGAAAAATTGATTGTCGGTAGGAACTATTCTACATCAAATGGGGTCATGGAATAGTCCATGTTTTTTAATAGTTTATATACTCTAAATAAAGAGCATACTTTTAGAATTGGTGTTGGAGAAATTATACATGGCATGTATGGAAAGTAGATGTTGCAGAAAATGGATCTAACCTAACAAAAAGTCAAAACACCATTACATATTTTCTATAATAAATACACAATTGCAGAGTAGATTTATACTCCCTTTATTATTTTAGGAAGAAGTTGGCATGATAATATTGTTTCAACGAAAAATATGACACATTAATTTGGTCAGCGGTAATTAAAAGCAATGCGTGATTGCTTTTCTGTCATTACGCACATCATCACAGTCAAAAGCAACATGATTAATGCAAATGTGGGAAGATACATAAACAAACAAATACATGATTAAATAAACAAATAAATAAATATCAAATAAATAATTGATTAGATATATAAATATAACTTTGTAGAAAACAAAACTAATTTACACAAAACTATAGCCTACTATTCAGGAGAAACATTTCTGATTTCACAATTGTTTACAAGAACTCTGTCCAAACATGGAATTCAGTCATAATGCCGAAGCAAACAGTCTGAGGTCATTAAATAGTTTGAGACAAAACGATGACCTGTCTGCTCTCCGTTGGGTGATATTTGTTTATGTGTCCGGTGAGGCCAGGGGAGGAGAAGAAATTATCACCACAAAATCGACACGGAATCACCTCTCCTGTCACCTTTGTGATGCACTCAGTCCCTGCGTATTTGGCGGAGGGCTCGGGTGTTTCTAGGCCGGACTTGAGCGGGCTGATGTGTTGTTGGTCGGAGACTTTGGCCGAAGGAGACTGATTCTGGGGATGACTAGCTGCTTTCCTATTGTGCAAGGCCAAGTGTTTCCTCAGGTACGCTTGTTTTCTGAATTTCTTTGAGCACTGTGGGCAGCTGAACATAATTTCTTCATCAGAGCCCGAGTCTGAGGGTAGCGGGGAGGGTGGGAGCGCCTCTCTGGCTGTTGGTGTGTCAGGTCGGCTCTCCTCTCTCTGTGACAAGACTCTCTCCACTTGAAAACCCTTTGGCTTGTGCCAACGTCTGTGGGAGGCCAGGTTAGCGGGACAACTAAAAACTTTGTCACACTCGTCGCAGCGATATTCGACTCGGACAATGCGAGAGCACTTGTGGAAGGCCAAAGTGAGAGGGTCTGCATACCGCTCCTTGCAAAGCTGACAGATGAATTCTCCAAGCGGACTGCTGGTGTTGGAGCGCTGCTTCACCTCATCCTCTGCCTCCTCTGTAATGCGCAATCCGAGGACGGGAGATGTGGTTACCTCATCCCGGACGCTGGACTTCTTCTCTTGGTTTTGGGAGCTTGAGGACTTGCGCTTTTTATAATTAGTATGGGGAGATTTCGCGTTGGAGGAGGCAGGCCGCTTCATTGCTGCAGATTTAACATTCCCGCACATGGTGTCCAGTCTGGTGGTCATCTCCGGAAGAGACGGCGACACTGGGGAACCATCAATGGTGAAGCTTCCCAAATTTGCCTCGGGAAAGGTATCTGATGGAGCAGGAGAAAGAAAGCTTAACATTTGATGAGCGGCGTCCACGGGTGTGTATTGATATCCCTCGCTGTCAGGCCGGGTCGGGCTCAGTGAAGGCGCACGGTGAGACTCTGGCATTCCACCGAAAATACCCGGGCTGAGAACTCTGATAAAGTTGTGGCACACCGAGGGCAGTGCATGAGCCGGGGTATTCTCGACCAGCGGAGAACAGTTGGCGTCCAGCGCCAAGTCCTCCTCGCGTATCCTGTATGAAACAGGACCAGCCTTTTTAGAACGTTTTATAAGGAAACCCTTTGGCATGGTGACTGTCAGGAAACACACACGACGCGTTATAATCAACCTCAATACGTTTTTGCTGTTAAAGTCGAGGCCAGGAAATGGAAAGAGGCGTGCGTAATCGTAATGCGTCCTATTCGCTCTGCGGTACCTGTCCACACTGGCCCTCTGTCGTTTGTCTCGGTCTTTATAAAGGCCCCGAGCGGTCATTGTGTGTCAGTTAGGACGCAGATGGCAGCAGTCCAGCCGTCAATAGAAAGGCCCGGCAACATGATCCACCGGGAGTCTTTGAGGAGCACAGCGGCAGATGTCAGCCTCCCCATTGCCGAGTCCACCCCCCCCCCCCCCTGCCCCCAGACCACTTGCCCCGTCCTTGACGATCCCTAGCCATTATGCAGATTACACAGAGCCACACCACACTTATCCAGCCTTTATCCTCCCATGTCCTCTGAGACTCTATTCAACACACACGTGCCGCAGCCGTCCATCCATTCATCAAAACGCACGTTTCAAAAGGAGGGGGATGGGGGTGAGTCAGGCTTGTGCCAGTTTGGGGGGTAAAGAGGCAAAGCTCTGCTCAAATTCACCTTAAACATAGGCGTTCAGGGGCATTCAACCCTTTGAACAATTTAATTTAATTGAATATGATTTCAACATCAAGAGAAGAAAAGGCACAAAAAAAGTAACTCCGTATGTGGAACTCCATTTTACGTTTTGAAAATTCAGTCCCTGGTGTGAAGGGGATCCTAATTATTTTATCATCAACGTTGAAAACAATTCTGCTCCCTAGTTGTGGCAAACATTGAATACCGCCAACGTCAAACGTCTCAACTCAACAATAGAAACAGTCTGTCATGTCATTGTCAGCGAAATTAACAATTTTCATCACACGTCCACAATCTGGCGCAAAAACACATTACATATACAGACCCAACCCCCAACCTTCCAAAATACAGATTATTAGCAGCAGGGCTATCTGAATCAGGGCTGTCTTGTAAAGGCCAACAAAAACGTTTGAAATCGATAAACGGTAACGGTCACAGACCAAACATCTTCCATAGCCTAACTGTAAAGCCATGAAACATGTGACAGGTTTACCTATAAACTAAATGTCAGTGTTTAAAACGTAAACATAAGGCATTTAGATTTGCCAATTAATATGCTCATCTTAAACACAGGCGTTTAGAATGCAAGATTAAACATGATAGTCAGCTTTTCCAGTCACTTTCCAACCAGGAGAACACCTACAGTACCAGTAAAAAGTTTGGACACACCTACTCATTCAAGGGTTTTTCTTTATTTTTTACTATTTTCTACATTGTAGAATAATAG